TGTAACAGCCCCATTCATCACCCGTCTGTAGGGGAGTTGGCTCAGAACACATCTAGACACCAAATTCTTAGCACAAAGATTTATGAACCCAGAGGGACAAGTGCATGGGGGAGATGGGGGGGATGGGAGGTGGGGGTTGGGGGTGGGAGTAGGAGGTGGGGGTGGTGCTGCTGGATCAGGCAAAAGGAGACAACAAACAGCAGGTGGGATTTTTTGTTTTTGTTTTTGTTTTTTAACAAGAGTGGGTTTTAAAAAGAAAAGGGGAAGTCTGTGCTATGGTGAGTAGGGTGAGTTGGTAAGTCCCGATTGGACAGGTTAGCCAGTGTAGTTAATAATGTATTTTGATTGCTGGACCTTTGTGTTTTGGTAGTTGGACCTTTGTGATCAGTCTTAGGAATGAGTCAGTGGCTAAGTAAGGGAACAGGCTTTGGGGGCTAGCTTTAGGAATGTAATCTAACAGTTTAGCAAGGGAAAGGGCAAAACCTGTCTGCAATGATTGGGCATGCATCCTTTTATCAACTGCTAAGAACACTGTTACTGAGAATTTGAGGCACTCTATCTTGGACCATGAGGGTGGGATAACATATAAATTTATTGAAAGCTAACACGACAATCTGAGTTTCAAATAACTTTGAGGTCATCATATCAGACACAAATGAGTTGTATATGAGCTTCTGTCCTTTAAAAGTCTGTTATTTTGGATCTTTGTTACATGAAACTGGGCAATTCGGATACATATATCAAATTAGAGATGGAGATTATGAGTTGAATAGATATATAAATGAATAAATAGATTTGAGAGATGGACTTGTGGAGCAGTTAGGTGATACTGAACGCTGTTAATGAGTAGAGAGAGAAGGAAGAGGAAGAGGCCAATGACTGAACCTGGGTACAAAATTTAGAAAGAAAAGAAGAGAAGGATCAAAAAAAGAGACTGAGTCAGAGGAACTACTGTAGTGGGTAGCCATTCCAGCTTTGATCTGGAAGTTCCAACCCCCATTGAGACTTTGGCAACTGTCATGCCTACAAGGTGGGGCCGAGGGAGGCACCTGGAGACCTGAGATCTGGATGGGCTGTGCTCTCACTCGGTTCCGGGACCTTGGACAGTGAAGGTGGGCCAAGCAGAGCTCCAGAGAACACCGCTGGACTGCGATATACCTTCCCCAGACCCCGTGACCTACCTATCCCTTAATTTGTAAGTTACTCCATTAAATAAATCTCCTTTTAACTATGTGGAGTGGCCTTAATAATTTCACCAATATCTGGCGCCCTCACTCGGTTCCAGCCTTGTAGGCGTGACAGTTGCCAAAGTCTCAATGGGGGTTGGAACTTCCAGATCAAAGCTGGAATGGCTACCCACTACAAACTACCATGGAGGATAACTAGGATAACTAGGAAAGTGTTGCTGTAGACAGAAGTTTTCCCGTGTCTGGCAGCTGTTGGTCCCAAATAAACACACAGAGGCTTATATTAATTACAAGTTGTTTGGTCTATGGCCCAGGCTTATTAGTAACTAGCTCATTCATCTTAAATTAACCCATTTCTATTAATCTATATATTGCCATGTGTCTTGTGGCTTTACCTGAGTTCCATTACATCTTGCTTCTCAGGCAGAGGCACACAGTGTCTCTACTGACTCCGACTTTCTTCTCCTTGTATCTCTCTTGGATTTCCCGCTTGGCTGTCTCCTATCTTTCCATAGGTCAAAGCAGCTTCTTTATTAACCAATGGCAGTAACATATATTCACAGCATACAGAAAGACCATCCTACAGCATGTTGCCAGTTTGGGAAGCCACAGAGAAAAGAAAAACAAGATGCTGCAAACAAGGTATAGCCAGTGGGTCCTCATCACCAACATGATTAAATACTAAGGTTTGATAAAGGGCAACCATGACCCTTTCCTGGTCAGTCTTGGGCTTGATGGTTTAATAATAATCCACTGCATTTGTTACTTCTGTACCCATGAAACTGTTGCAAGTCTCAGCCTCTTTCGCCCTTTCACCAGGCAAGCTACTATCTATCTACTTAGACTTGGCTTACCACCAATTCTTTCAAGATGCCTTCTTTGACTTAATTCTCTGCCCCATTGCCTCGCAGGATTAGCTGTCTGCCTTTGGACAATCACCTGTTTTCTGTCATGGCCCCGATGGCATTGCTTTGCCACTGTGGCTGAAACTATTTTTTCATTGTCTTCAATGGTTTGTGAAATTCTATGGTGCATAGCGTGAAGCATCTATTTATATCACAGGTAGAGTACCTGTAGGCTTTCAAATATAACCTGTGATATAAATAGATGCTTCATGCTATGCACCATAGAATTTCACAAACCATTGAAGACAATGAAAAAATAGTTTCAGCCACAGTGGCAAAGCAATGCCATCGGGGCCATGACAGAAAAGCCTACAGGTACTCTACAATTATCTGTGGAATGACATAAGAGTTCACTGCAAGTCATATAGCTTGCTTGAATTTTCTATCTATATAAGAATCCCATCACAAAACCTATTAAGATCTTTCACACATTTTTCTTGAAATTTTAACTTTATGAAATCCATGTGCAAACCTTTGGCTATCAGACACAGTGAAGGGATGCTCACAAGGTCAGAGGTAAGGACTGTCCACTGCTGGTCCAGCTTCCATTAGAACTCATGTCTCAACCCTTAGTGGACCTGCCTACTCTTCCACAATTCTTGTGACAAGAACATTTAGGTAGAGTTTTCTCATTCTCCCCAGTACCTTTAAACCCTCTTCTGTGAGCAAGAGACATTACCTCCCACTTTTCATAGGTTTCTGTGCTAGTCTTAATTTGGAAATAATCACTACAAATTGGATTTCTATTCAGCACCTCCTACACCTCCCTATGAACTCTAGCACATTAACAAATACCAAAATATTCATGCAAAAATATTTCTCCCTTTAGAGAACACTCTTCTCTGTTCCAGGCACCTCTGTTTAATGTCATCTGATCAGAGCTGACTATGCATTTAATTATAATCTTTCTGTAGCTTGACATCATTGTGTCAGACATGCAGGGAAGAGAACTCTGAGCTGGGGCTGAGGGAGCAGACAATAGTGGAAAGATGACAGCATGTAAGGTACAGAAAATCCCTCTCCTAAAATGTGAAAGAAACTGGAGCAGAAGACACAGCAGCAAGGAATAAATTGATAGTATTCAAATAAATGAAGAATTACCTCCCGCCTGAAATTTGAAAAGTGTCATGGAAGATGTAAGTTTCTAGAAGAAACTTTTCTTTACTCCTATGAGGCAACCCATTGGCACACATCTCATTCTGAAACCTCTGTTTGGCAGGAACCAGTAGGAACAGGTCTGTGGGGAGCCTGGGAAGAAGGTATGGAATGACCCTCTAGAACAGTATTCTCAATGAGAGAGATGTTGCTCCCCATGCAATGTTTGGCACTGTCTGAGACATTCTTAGTCATTACAACCAAAGGTCTAGGTGGGGATTTCTCTGGCATCTGGTGGGTAGAGGCTATGGGGACAGTGAAACATCATGCACATGGCAGACATACTCTACCCAGCCCTCTGGGTGATCGGTAGTGCTAAGATGGCGTTCTTGCAGATAAATTGTATTTACTGAGGGGAAGAATAATTTTGTTTTTCTAAGATCATAGTTTTTGTGTTTAATTGGTTGTTTAAACAGTGTTCATCAGTCAAGTAAAAAAATTTAACTATATGCTGCTTTCAAAAGCTCAACTTACAAAGGCTGTCATAGAGGATGACAGGATCACTGTATTCATGAACTTAGCAGTACTGTGGTTGCCCACACAAGACCTGCACATGATCAAGCCAGTCAACGTTCTAGCATGGAGTGGGAAGGGATTCATAAACCCCAAACCTTAACTGAAGAGCTATGAAAAGTAGTTGATGGCTTCTAGAGAGTCAGTTTTCTCTAAGGGTATGGCTCCATGTAGGCCAATCATGCTGCAGTGAATGGCCCTACACCCAGGAATATATCTATATCTATGTACACACACACACACATATATATATATTTATATATATAGCCATTACAAATTGGAGTTGATGTATTATTCAAAAAAATGAGGACAAGAAGTTTGGAGTGGGTAGGAAGTGAGGTTGAATCTAGAAAAAGTCTAGGGGAAGGAGTGGGTGTGGATATGATCAAAATACATGTATGAAAATTTCAAAAAAATGAATAAAAATACTTAAGACTCTGTATTCATATCAGAAAACTACGAACAAAATCAGAAAATATGATTTAAATGTAAATAAAAGCTTAGTTCAGACAAGAAAGATAAAAGCAGAACTTTATGAAGAAAGAGTGTACAGTGGTCAAGATTGATACAGCTCCTTTGTCATTAAAATTGGTTGTTTAAACAGTGTTCATCAGTCAAGTAAAAAAAATTTAACTATATGCTGCTTTCAAAAGCTCAACTTACAAAGGCTGTCATAGAGGATGACAGGATCACTGTATTCATGAACTTAGCAGTACTGTGGTTGCTTGCACAAGACCTACACATGATCAAGCCAGTCAACGTTCTAGCATGGAGTAGTGCAAAGAAAAAGTGAAAAATCCACTGAAGAACTAGAAGGGAAGGACTAGACACAAACCAGCAGGAGAAACCATTAGCTTGTCTTACTATGGCACCCCGGCAAGCCTCCTTTCTTAAGTGAACACAGGCATTGTGGGTGATAAAGTGAACATGTACCTAAAAGCCAGAAAACCCACGCCTTTTCAAGAGCCTCTAGAACTTCCATTTAAAAACCATAAAGCTGATGGTCAAGAGAAACACTAACCTATCAAACAAAACAAAACACAAAAAAGAACTGGTTCAAATAATATTTCAAGCTCTTAATGCAACAAAACTAAAAATAAAGATAAAAGCAGTAATGAAAAGCCCAAAATTCGAGTGTTATCTTTTTTTTTTTTTTTTTGGTTTTTCGAGACAGGGTTTCTCTGTGTAGCTTTGCGCCTTTTCCTGGAACTTACTTGGTAGCCCAGGCTGGCCTCGAACTCACAGAGATCCGCCTGGCTCTGCCTCCCGAGTGCTGGGATTAAAAGCGTGCACCACCACCGCCCGGTGAGTGTTATCTTTAAACAACTTTGTTTTAAGGAAGGATGTAAAGCTGAACCTCTAAAGCTGAGCTGCTTGGTACGGCAGCGATTAGCCTTATGGAGCACTGGAAACTGGGTCTGTCTGGACTGAAGTTGCCATGAGGATAAACAGTGGTTTTTTAAGATAGAGCATAAGGAAAGAGTGTGAAATGTTTTATCAAATATGTTTTTATTGGTTACACCTTGAACTGATTGTAAGTATACAAAACTAAATATACCATACTATTAAAAGCAATTTCCTCTCTCTCTTGTTCCTAGACTTTAAAATGTAGATCCTATGTTTGATAGGAACAGATGTCATTACATTTTGATTGGACACTTCTGCTCTACAATATCCATGTCAGTAAGAATTTCTTTCTGGGCTTTGTTAAATAAAGTTCAAACTGAGCTCAGAAATGATTTCTTTGTTATGATTAGCATTTCTTTGTGTGTGGAAGAGGGACAGCATGTGCGTAAAGAGGTCAGAGGGAACCCCAGGGAGCTGGTTCTCTTCTCCACCATGGCTTTTGTTACCTTGCTGGCCCAATGTGAATTTTATTTGATACATTCTGTTAAGATTAGAACCAGAAAAACATCTGAAAAAGAAGAACAATGAATGTAAATATGCTTCTACTAGGTATTAAAAACAATGTTTGAAACCAATAGAGCAGACATAGTGGCCCATACTCATGGCACCAGTCAGGAGGCAGAGGCAGGAGGGCCACCTGCTTAAGATTGACCTAGTTTATATAGCAAATTCTGGATTCTAGGCTAGTCAGGGCTACCCAGTGAGACACTGAATCTGTCTGTCATCCCTTTGCTAAAACATACACACAAAAAACCCCAAAACAATGCGAAGTGTTTTGTAAACTTACAGATATTTAACTATGCTATAATTCTAGGGCAGAATTAAATGAAGAGATTAATGTGAGAGAATGGAGAATCCAAAAGTGAGTTCAAGGACATTTGGGAGTTGAATATTTAATTAAGATGACATGATGAAGCCTTTTTTTTTTTCCCCAGCAAGAATGGGTTATTCAAACTGTGGTACTGAGGAAGTGGCTAGTTATTTAAAGAGACTATATTCAAACAAACAACAAAAGGCTTCTTGTTAGGTGAATATGGAAGGCTGAGCAGACATCAGGCAGGTGGACAGATGGGAAGACTATTCCAGAAAAATCCTGGCTCCTAAAATGTCCTTTAGTTCACCAGGCTTTGTCAAAGCTCATATTTCCAGTTTTCTTCTGAAGCAGAAAGAGCTGCACATAACAAATGTTAGGCCAAAGAGTCGGCAGCACTTGGAGTCCTTCTTTGAGAAGATACAGATCACCTACAAAGACAAGAAATAAAGTGGCTAGAAAAGTGACCACTGACCAATGCATGTTCGGGATACTCAATAACTGCCAGGAAGAATCAGTGGGGAAGGTACCATGGAAGAGACCCCACTCATCATGGCAAGAAGGGATAGCTGCTTCAGAATGTCGACGCAGGACGCTTATGATCCAAGCTGGGAAAGCCACAGTACTTTTAAAAAGTGTGTGTATGCATGTCCATTTTGCTGTTTTGACATGTGTGGAGGCAGAAGTCAGTGTCAGGGCATCTTTCCATGATCTCCTCTCCACCTTCCTTTCTGAGGCAGCGTCTCTCATTGAACCCGAAGCTTACCATTTTGGCTCGACTGCATAGGCAGCTAGCCCCAAGGGTCCACCAGTCTTTGTTCCCCAGGGCTCCACCAGGCTTTTTCACAAGATCCGAATGCTGGTCCTCACACTTGTAGAGTAAGCAGTTTACCCACGAGTCCTCTTCCAGCACTCTAGTGCCCTTGAGTCCTCCAGGAGATCAAAGTAAACAGAGATTTGTATTTGCTTAGCATGTGGGAATAAAAGAATAGTGAAACATGGCTTCTTCTCTTATTACTTCACAGGGTGCACATGGTGCAGTGACAGTGTCCTTGGCTTTGTGGCTACTGCATGATTGTCATGCCCTGCACCTTGCCGCTCAGGGGCTGACCAGGTGACCAGCACATCTGAAAAATCAAGCAGAGGTAGACTTTAAATAAATCTATGCTTATTTGGTCCAGTGGTTGTCAAATTGTAAGCTTATTAAAACACAGGTCAGCGTGCCCCATGCCCAGGGTTTCTGATTCAGTCAGCTGGAACGGGGCCCAAACACATCACCAGCATGCTCCCAGGGTTGTTGGTGCTCTTGGCTAGCGATTCCACTTTGAGAATTGCTAGATTCTTCAAGCATCTTAAAGTCCAATAGAATGGAAGACTGGAGACTCGGCGTGGGTTCCAGGGTTCTTGGGATTCTCCTTGAATTTTCCAACCACCAAGCCAATTTTTAGAATGCTCCTTATGACTTTCAGTGTAGGCGAGCTTGACAGGGGATGTCAGTCATTTTTATATCTTCTTCCTCTGATTTATCAGTGAGGGATTATTAAAGAGCCAGAAGGTGGCAATCTCTCTCCCTCCCTCCCCACTCTTTCCTTGTGGGACTTAGATACAAGTTCCCTGAAAGTGCCAGCCTTCCATCTTCTATGCAGCCAGCCATTCCTAATCTAAAGTGTTCAAATCTGTCTTAAAACTTCATGAATAGTATAGCTGGAAGATTAATGGCCAAGGCTAAGGAGCAGTTTTGGTTGGGTGTAGAGAAATCAGAGATAAGGAGGATTTGAGGATTTACCTGTTTGGTATAAAATGAATAAAATCAGCTGGAGTGCAGATACAAAAAGATTGGGCCAAGAATTGTATCACATTACATGGAAGACTCTGATGTATCTATCACTAAGCAACATGGAAGGAAAGTTTAATAAATCATTCTGGAGTAGTGAGGATTGGATTTGAAAGAGAAATTTGAAAGACTCATTACTTACCAAACTCACAAAATTTGAAGTTAAACATTTAAAGGTAGCAGAAACTGGAGAGACGGCTCAATGGGTAAGAGTGCTTGCTATGCAAGCCTGAGGAGCTGAGTTTGGATTTCAGCAGCCAGGCAAAAAGATGGGCATGGCCATGCATACCTGTAACCCCACTGCTGTGCTCAGTGGAGACAGAAGACTCTGGGGCTTGCAGTCTGCAGAATAACTCCAGGATTAGTGAGAGACCCTGTGTAAAAGGAATAAGGCGGAGAGTGATAAAGCAGAACACCTGTTGTCCTCCTCTGAGCTCTGCACATACCTTAACATACAACACACACACACACACACACACACACACACACATACACACACACACACACACACACACACACACACAGACACTTTAAATATAGAGCATTAAGGAGAAAGGACAATGCACTTCAAATGTTACCATTTGGTATACTTCTTTAGAGGTATGTGCTAGATGAAAGAAATGGCGTTGTGGAATGACTACTGTGTGCAGTATACTTAATTGTAGCATGAATCTTAAAGGTCTTATTAATAAAAACAAACCTGGAAACCTGGAGCCAGGTATTGGGGTGAATGTTGAAAGATCAGAGAAACAGAACCAGCCATAACCAACCTCACCTCGCCAATTCCTCAGCTGATCTTGTTTCTTCAAACTGGAAGCCTCTGTGTCCTCATTTGAATGGATCTCAGCTGAACTGCTGCTCAAAAACCTAAGAGCTTAACAGATTTTAGTTCCTGGTTTTCATGCTTTATATACCTTTCTGCTTCCTGCCATCACTTCCTGGGATTAAACAAGTGTGTCACCATGCCTGGCTCTTTCAAAGTGTGTCTTTGAACTCATAGAGATCCAGATGGATCTCTGCCTCCAGAATGCTAGGATTAAAGGTGTGTATGCCACCATTTTCTGGCCTCTATGTCTATATAGCGGCTGTTCTGTTCTCTGACCCCAGTTAAGTTTATTAAGGTATACAATACATTGGGGGACACAATATCATCACACTTTATCTCATTCAGTCTTTATAGCAACCCATGACACAGCCATTGATTTCAAACTTTCAGATAGGGAAACTAGAAAAACAAAACAAAACAGTTACTTTCTCAATATTGTCAGACTCCATGTCCCGTGTTCCCTATGATTCCAACAGAACAAGTGCAATGGAGACTGCTCATTTGAGAGAATGGAGCTGGTCGTGGTGGCTCTTGGCTGTAATTCAAGCATGTGAGAGGCTAGGCTAGGAGGATCATTCCCACAGCTTCTGGGAAGCTGTTGTGGGAGGTTCATGAGTTTCAGGTCAGTCTGGGCTATATAGCAAGACCGTGTATCAATAATAAAAATAAAAGAGATGGAAACCGGTTCTATACAGGGTTGGCATGGGATAACAGCAAAGGAATAATTGAGAGCAGAATCTGGGGATGAGACAGCATCCCAGAGCTATAGAATGAAAGAGCTTGTCCATGAAGAGAAGAGCAATAAATACATCCCAGACTCCTGCTTGGATCAGGGGAAGAGTGGCAGTCACTTGATCCCAGGGAGGGTTGGATGGTTGGTAGAGAGACTAGAAAACGTAAGAATTACCCTTTGTCATCTATAATAACTTACTCCTTAAGGATCAGATCCCATCTACCCATAAATAACCCTGCCCCCACTTTATGAAGAACCTAGAGAAGGAAGGTGGTCTCCCCAAAGAGTAACTATATTGAATCAAGGAACTTGTTCTTTGAGGTGCATGACTAGGGGGATGATTTGAGCCATAACCTAGCCACTCAGAACTTTAGTTTTTCTCATTTGTGCATCAAGATAAGTGTCTGTCCCGTAGAATTCATGTGGGATTTAGTGAGACAAGTCAGGGAAAACATTAAGCATAGTAAGTGGTATAGAGCAGGATTTAGTCAATATTTGTCACATAAATGAGTATATATGTATCTTGTATATGCACATATACACATATATTTGCTCAATACACATACTTACTCATCTCTGAAGAAATCTTGAAGTCCAGAGAAAGGAGGCATGCTAACTAAGTCTGCTTGGAAGATGAGAGTTACACATTTTTCATCAGTTGTAGTTGAAACATTCCAGTTTGGGAATCTGGGTCAAGCTATATCACTGTGCATTAATTAATTATAAGTTGTGATTCCAGAAACCTGTGGGAAGATGAGAAAATAGTTTAGTGCCTCCAGTTTCTCTCAGCAACAAATGTGCCTCTGATGACTTCCAAATGCATGGATCTTCACACATCACACAGAGGATACATGCAGTCTGCTTATAAGGACAGCCATTGTGATGGTTAATTTTACTTGTGAACTTGATGAGATCTAGAATCATATGGATGCTGGGCCTCTGGGCATACCTGTGGGGGATTATCTGTATTGGGTTAATTGAGATAGAAAGATCTGTACCCTGAGAGCAACAGCATTCTCAGGCCTAGGATCCTGCATCATATTAAAAAGGAGAGGGTGAACTGAGCACAAACATTCATTCACTTGTTCTTTGCTTCTTGATTGAGTATGCAATGTAACCAGCTGCTTGAGCTACTGCTGATGTGACTTCCCCGCCAGGATTAACTGTGAGCCAAAATAACCTTTTTCTCCCTTAGCTTGCTCATGTCAGAGTGTTTTATCAGTACAACAGGAAAAACTTGATGCTGACTATATTCTAGTAACCCTTCTACTCTTCCTGCCTTGCTGGAGAAGGTGAAGAAAATCTACTCAAGGATTTGGATCCATATCCAAACAGCTTTGATAGAGTTGAAGGATGGGCTGTGCAGATGGTTGTACTCATTCATAACCCAATAAATTTCTCTCAGCCAGCTTCACATTCAAGGCACTCATCACCTAAAGTAATAAACTGTGGTGGTATTGTGTTCCCCAAAATATTGTGTACCTTAATAACCTTATCTGGGGTCAGAGAACAGAAAAGCCATAAGATACTTAGGCTAGAAAATGTTAGCACATGCCTTTAATCCTAGCATTCCAGAGACAGAAATCCCTCTGGATCTCTGTGAGTTCAAGGCCACATTGGAAACAGCCAGGCATGGTGACCCACGCCTTTAATCCCAGAAAGCAGCCTTTAATCCCAGGGAGTGGTGGTAGAAAGCAGAAAAGTTTATAAGGTGTTGAGGACCAGAAACTAGAAGCATTAGGCTGGTTAAGCATTTGCCTGGTTAAGCATTTGACTGGTTAAGCATTCAGGCTTCTAGCAGCAGTTCAGCTGAGAGCCAATGGGATGAGGACACAGAAGCTTCCAGTCTGAGGAAACAGGACCAACTGAGGAATTGGCAAGGTGAGATAGCCGTGGCTTGTTCTGTTTCTCTGATCATCCAGTTTTCACCCCAATAACTGGCTTCAGGTTTGATTTTATTAATAAGAACTTTTAAGATTCATGCTACAATAAACTGACTTACAAGTAGAAAACCGTGAGTGTAGGCCCTGATAGAGAGGAAGGGAGTGAAGAATGTGAGGGAGTAAGGGAAGGAGTGATTGACAGACCAGTGCTGAAGTGAACTAAGCCTGTAAGGAGTAGAAGAAATGGCCTTGGAAATTTTAGGGAAGGGTAGAAGTGGGCAGCAGAGCTGGGCATCCCAGGCTTACCATTCAGCACACACCTTTTATCTATAAGTGGTAGACAGAGAGGGCCATGGGCAGTTTTGGAGGAAGAAGGTCATCATGCATTTCTTTGGTCAGGACTATTTGTTTTTATCACTGCCCCTGCCTGACCAGTTCCTCACAAATCAGGATGAATGGTCATTCTACTTGGACTTAATGCTGAAAAGACAGTATGAGCTATTATGAAAATAACAAGTCATTTAATTTCTTCTGACTAGCACAATTTATATCACATTATTATGTTTTTGTGATTAATGATATTAATTATTATATAATTACATTTAACATATACCATTGCTACTAGTGGTCAGTTTCTGGATAAGGTGTTTCCAGAGTGTTGGCCTCTTTATTTGAAATGGTAAGGGAACTTTATTAAAAAACAAAGTAATAGTACAGATTTGATCTGATACCAAGAGTGACAGCAGCCACCTTACTGAAAGGGCCCTCAAGGGTCTTAGGTTATTTCCTTGATCTTGTTTCATTGTGTCTAAGGATAGGAAGGTTTTCCTGATACAACAGACTTGAGTTATGCAAGCTTTTCTTTATTGTGCATGTTACTTCCTATGATGTATCTGATTTTAATGCCCAATTATATATAAGAGGTTGTTTCCCCCTAAAATTTTACCCAAAGGACATGGTTTGCCTTATTGTGCATGAACCCTAAATTGGTCCAGGATGAGTTGGCCTTACTTCTGTATATATATATTTGTGTCTTAGTTTGCTCTCTGTTGCTGTAATAAAACACTGTTGAAAAACAACTTGAGGAGGAAAGGGTCAACTCACACTTCCAGGCCACAACCTATCACTGAGGGAAGCTAAGGCAGGAACCTGGAGGTAGGAATGGAAGCAGAGCCCACAGAAGAGTGTTACTTATTGGCTTCCTTCCTATGGTTTACTCAGACTAATTTATTACACAGCTTAGGACCACCACTGATCAGTGCCTGGGGCCTTCCATTAATCAAGAAAATGCCCTTACAGACTTACCTACAGGTCAGTGTGATGGAGGTAATTCCTTAATTGAAGTTCTTTCTTCATACAAACCTATAATTTGTGTCAAGTTCACAAAATCTGATCAACACAACATGGGTATGTATTTGAATAGAAACTGTCTATGAAAGGAGAGGCATTGATGGTGGATAGGAACACAATCCAGCCCATTCTTTAGAATGAGGCATATACACTGCTTGATGCAGGTAGAGGTCCTAGGTTGCCAGTTGCATTGCTAGGAGGGTGATGAGCATGCATAGTTTGCATGTAAGGGACCTAGGCTGCCAATCACACTGTTAGGGGAAAGATGCATGTATAGCCCAAGTTAAGCAGAGTTTGAGGTTACTAAGCTATTCCCCGTGTTTGCCTGCTTCGTTGCATTTTTCAAACCCTGTATTTTTTTAAAATTTTAACTGTACTGAGTATTTCATCCTTGAAAAGGACCAGCTGCAGATGGAGATGTGGAAAATGCAAAGGTGAGAGACAGCATGGTATACTTAGGGCTGCAAAGAAAGAATTTCCAGGGCCCAGAAACTATATTCTTATGCATGAAGGCTGGTAGAGGTGAAGGTGAAGAGCTGAACAGTGGTCAAGGGTGTACTATCTGGGCCAAGGATTCTATCTCATGATCTCAAGGAGTCCAAGTTGTTACACAAATGAGTATCACAGCTGGGTCAGGTAGCCCACACATATATGTCTTTGGAAAGTGGAACAGTGTGGAATGTAGAGGGTAAGATCAGAATGGGAGGAATATTTTGGTTACTACTGTAAGTATGCAGGTAAAGTTCTACCAAGATGTGGAAAAGGTAATCATTTAGTAAGAGAAATAGGCAGGACTTGGTGCTTGGCTGATGAAAGTAGATGTATGGTTTGGGAGTGGTGATTCTCTGTGGGTATGGGCATGTGGCAGCATCAATCACCAAGACAGGGAAAATGATTGTCTGAAAAAGAAAGAAACATAGATGGGCAGAAATACTGAGGTGTCATTCACCTTCCAAGTCCAAGGCCAGGGACTGAGATAGTGTAGTTAATCACAGCAGATGTAAATGCAAACGTTGGCAGCTCTAGTCTAGGGGTAACAAGAGGGCTGATTCTTCTCCTAGAGGAAGGGTGGATGGTTGAACCTGCTGGACCAGTTCGGCATGCTGTCAGTGTTCTCACACAGAGTCTGCCCCTTGGAAACCATCTGGAAAGTCTGTCCTTTGTTTTGTGACCCAGTTCTAGACAAAATGACACTAATAATACCCATTCACTTCTCAGGATTGTGAAGTCAGGAGCTAATGTATGCACTGGGCTCATTATGCAAATATCCCCCGGCAAAGGCATGGCAGGATCCCTCACACATTCCTTCCCTCCTTTGCCTTCCCGGGGTTCTGAAATTGTCTATAAGGCATAGTCCCTGTAGTTATCCAAAAGCTTGAATGTGATACCTCTTTAAAGCAGTATTCTTAGTGGTCAAATAGGGTATAGGGACCCTCAGCTCAGGTAATTTTCTATATGGAGATAAGAAAAGGCAGCACTGGAAGCAAACAGCACTGGGGAATGGGAGACAGACATCCTGTGACTTAGGGTGAGTGTCCGTGTCTGAATTTCTGCACAATGAGAGTATGAAGTTACCCAAGTCAGCAAGACCCAGCTCAGAAGGCTGAGTCTATGAGTCTATTCAATAAGATGTCATAGCTTGCTAGTGTGTGAGTCAGCAGTACTCAAATATATTCTGGAGCAAGGAGTTAAAATTTTAATTTTTAACCATCTTGTTTATTCAGTCAGTAAGCAGGCAATAAAAGGCCAGATTGTGTGGTAGCTGTGAGCAGAGCAGTGGCATGGGGGACACACATTGGCAGCCCCCCTTCAGGGTCCAGTAGGAGATATTTGATCTAGATACTAGCTCCAAATGTAAGGGGTTCATGGAGAGAAAGTGAGGCTGGCCATACCACGCCCCGTACTTACCTGTGCCCACCTACCTTTGTTTTATAGGAAATCCTGCCACTGGGCCCTGAGCATCTGAAACACCCCCACACAGAGCAGCCTGCTCCAGGAAGGAAGGGGCCCTGTCCCCCAGCTCTCCAGACAGCAGAGCTTTCTCAGTGTCACTGTGCATTGACTCCTCAACTTGTGACTAAACTATTTTTAACTGACTGTCGCCATGGCAGCGCAAGAAGCAAGGGGAGAGATGTGGCCTCTCTGTCAGCATTCAGGATGCTGGCTGCCCTCTCTTCCCTTAATCCCCTGCACACTGGGGCCAAGACAATCTACCTTTTACTAACAGAAGTACGGCTAAGACTTCTCTGTATGCATCCTTGTCTCTGCAATATAAGGATTTCAATAAAAAAAAAAAAAAAAAACCTCTCCCCTTAGGAGTCTGTCATAGGGTTCAATTAGATTATTTAGATAAATGAATGTATCTCTCAATGTTAGTTTCTGTTACAGCCTTGAATTATACCACAGACACTCCCAACACACACACACACACACACACACACACACACACACACACATACACACACACACACACACACACACACACACACACACACACACACACACACACTGTCCTTCCCATTTCTTGCTTGTATGCCTCCCATGAGTGTTTTACAAGTGCATGTAAAGTCTAGAAACATAAAAAATGTCATTTACCTTTCTACACATTGCTGATAGCCTTTGTTGGCATTACTCACACCTGCCTGGGTTTCCAGATGATTTGGATGAGTTCTTCAAGAATTTTGTATGTTTCCCATCATATTCACCCCTCCTCATTCCTTTCAGATCCACTCTCCCCCTTTCATCTTGAGGTCCATTTTTTCTTTCCAGCCATCAAGTCCAATTTGTACCACCCATATGTTCTTGGACGTGTAGTCATTTACCGGACTGTGGTCAACTTGCCATACTCTTAAAGAAAATCGACTCACTCTATCCCGGGAGCTCTCTCACCCCTTCTGCTGTGAGAGGTGGTGTTGATACAGGAACATGAGCTCCCTAAATTCTTGTGGCACTTCAGTTCTACCACTGTATCCTTGCCTTGCATTGGCATTTTGGGGAGCAGGGAACGTGTGGTTTCTCATCTTCATACTCTGGGACTCAGCCTACAGCTGAGGACAGATAGACACTTGGTCAATGTTATCTTGAAGAAATGACAACAAGGCCAATGGAGAGAGAACAGTGACTGGGTTATCTCTAATGGTGGGAACAAGTGAGGCTCCATCAAGGACTTGGGTCTGGGCATGGAGGACGGACGTAGAAGGAGGCAATGTCTCTGAAACAATCCTTTCATAACACCTCCACTTCACTTCAGGGAGGAGGATTCTGGGACTCAATAGATGAGTGAGGGGCCCAGACCATCTGATCAGCAAATGGCTGAGATGAGATGTGCACTCTGTGAGACTTGGCTCTTTTTCCTTTCTGGTTGGCCCTCTGGGAACAGGAAAAGACTCAGAGGTCAGGATGGAGATATTTCCAAGAGTGACACAGGTCAACTATTGGGGAAGTGTCACAGCCTTCATGTTAGGAACTCTTTCTGGCTAGGTTTTTCCAGGGCTAGGATGCAGGTCTATGAGTAGGGACATGGACATGAATTGGGATGTGAGAGATGCACAAAACATCCGTGAGCTTCAAGCAGCACCTACTCTGGACAGAACTCCATGGAAACCTCCCAGCACTCAGATTGGAGCAAAGGGCACAGGGAGGGATGTCTCAGCATCTTATAGAATCTAGTAGCTGTAAGCAGGTCATTGTGAACTCTATAGCTAAACTAACACCATGGCCACGGAGGCCATAGGTGGTTGTGGGAGAAACAGCTGAATGTGGCCTCTTCCTGAGGGCAGCGGGCCGTCAGCCACCAGGGTGGTGTCCTAACTGCCTTCATAAACATGATGTCTTCTCAAGGAAGAGTCTTCATGACAGGGAGGGAATAGCTCCACAAAGCAGGAGCCAGGGATGGCTAGTGGAGAGCCACTTTAGGATGTCATGGAAAATTGCTTCACCTAGGGTGTGTACCAGCAGGACTTGCACCTTTGATGTAGTCTGAGCTCTGCAAAGAGCCGTGAACCCACACCTCTAAATCCAGTACGGAAACATGTCTACAGGGCATTCAGCTTCATGATTTCTCCTCAGGGAGGCGATAGGAAATAACAAGGAAATCATCTAATCTGTGAGGCTAAGGTGCTGGGTCATGGCCAGCACAACTTTGGCAGAGTTATAAGACAGCACTCTCTAGGGAAAATGCATGTTGTGGGTGCTAAGCTGTAAGTCCAACTTTCAGGAGAGTCAAGGGGACCCACTGTGGGTTCTGTCTGAGTGGGACAAAGGGAACACACTATGGGTTCTGAGTGGGAAGATGCTGAGTTGTCCATTCCTGCCTCATCCCTGCTCCTGCTCCCCTCAAGCTTCCTTCAGAGGCAGGACTTGAGTAATGAGGCTCTGCTCTACACCTGTATCCTAGCCTCCTCCCAGGCTTGTTTTGGAGAATACTGTTTTCTCCCTTCAGAACATGGTAATTTGTCCTTTGTAGGAAGTTTGGAAACATGGGAAAGCACAAAGAATATGAAAGCCAGTTGCAATCCTATTAACCAGAGATGATTACTCCTATAGCCTTTCCTTTGTGAGTATGTGGTACATGTGTCCATCTGTGCCTGCACAAATAGAAATGTGTATTTACTCGATGAGTATGTATTTTTAGAAAACAAAGCATCATATTATTGCTTAAGAACTCAGACTCTATCATCAGAGTTCCCAAATTCCAAGTCTGTGGCCTTCACATCAGTTTTTCCATGCCTCAATTTCATGGTCTTTAGAAAGCAGAATGGGTTTGTGAGACATAGTATCTCCCTGTTGCCAGAGTCTGCAGTTCTCTGTGCGTGGCTTTTGCTTCTTGCTGCCTGCTTCTACGTTTTTTCCTTCTATTATTCACTGTTATTGATGCTTCTTTTACTTCCAGCTGGATTTCTTTCCACCAGTAAAAAAAAAAATCAGTTGAAATGAACATTAAAACATGCTCAAGGACTGGGCTTATGCTTGCCTACCATACACAAAGCCCTGGGTTCAGTCCCCACCACTACATGAATCAAGTGTAGTAGCACATGTCTGTAGTCCTTGCACTCAGAGGTGGAGGCAGGAGAATCAGAAGTTCAGGGTCATCCTTAGCTATGCAGGGAGTTTGAGGCCAACCTGAAATAAAGGCCTTGTCTCAAGAAATGAACAGATTAAAGACAAACAAACAAAAAGCCAAATAATGTTAAAATCTTTTTTATTTTAAGAAAATAAGGAAAACACCTTGCTGAGTGATGTGCTTTCCTTCCTAAGGCTGTCTGCTCCCACCACAGGCACCTCTTTCATCCCCCCTTCTCTACCTCAGCCTGGTTTCTGACCGACAAAACCCCATTGGGTTTTGATTATTAATGGCATCTCTATGCCAAGGTCAGCAAGTGTCATTGAGTGATTTGTTGTGAAATATTAGTTGAAGATATGTTACATTTGTTTATGCTGTGGAACATTTGTTTAATTATGCAAAAATGTGTTGCCTTCTTTTATGTTGCATTTGTTTAACTCTGTGAAGCTGTGTTACTTTGCCTGCCAAAAACATCTGATTGGTTTAATAAAGAGCTGAGCAGCCAATAGCAAGGCAGGACAAAGGATAGGCAGGGCTGACAAGCAGAGAGAATAAATATAAGGTGAAAAAGAGAAGAGGGAGGCGTGAGAAAAGGAGAAGAGGATGCCATGGGCCAGCCACCCAGCCACACAGCCAGATATAGAATAAGAAGAAAAAAAAAGACATACAGAAATAGAGAAAGGTAAAAGCCCAGAGTCTAAAGGTAGACAGGATAATTTAAATTAAGAAAAGCTGGCTAGAAATAAACCAAGCTAAGGTGGGGGCATTCACAAGAAAGAATAAGTCTCTGAGTATTTATTTGGGAGCTGGGTGGCAGGCCCCCCAAAGAATAAGGAGGGAAAAACAAACAAACAAAAACCAACAACAGTGATTACTCTCATTGACTGCTTGTGGTGTCATTAATGCCATCTTCTCTCTCTCTCTCTCTTTCTCTCTCTCCCCTTTTTTTTGGTCTCCCCTGACCATTCACTCTCTGTCTCTTGCTCTGGTTTCCCTGTGTCCTACTTTACCTTGACTTACTCATTCTTTCTTTCAGTTCACTTTTTCTTAGTCTTTTCTCCTAGTCCCTTCTGTTCTCTGCAATGCTGGCTGGATTTACCCACACCTGAATCTTCATTACAGTGTAAATGTGGACAGTTCTGCCATCTCTATCTCTATTTTTATCTCTATCTCATATCAGTTTCCTGAGTTACAAACTCAGATACCCAACTGGGCATCTCCATGAACACATCTACATTGCCCTAGAATCCATGTGGCTCAAATGGATCCATTGCTCTTTTTTGGTTTCTGTCTTTGGAAAGAAAATGTTAAGCCACATCCCTAGCCAGGTGTCAGTGAGCCATTTAAAAGGGAATCAAGCCGGGTGGTGGCGGCGGCGGCGGCGGCGGCGGCGCACGCCTTTAATCCCAGCACTTAGGAGGCAGAGCCAGGCAGATCTCTGTGAATTTGAGGCCAGCCGGGCCTACAGAGTGAGATCCAGGACAGGCAACAAAGCTACACAGAAAAACCCTGTTTTGAAAAACAAACGAACAAAGGAATCAAAGTGTCAGTTACATTAATGTTTGATATTTTAGAATAAGAAGTCTGAGGTTGTGTACATAAGGGCATCTGGCCTTGCCAGTGGCACTAAGGTCACAGGGGCTACCTTGTTTTATATTGTCCTGCATGAGATCAACCCTGAGTCTTGACAGATAACAAACACTTCTAACTACCAAATTATTGGAAACATGCTTCATTGGAAAGGGCTGTGGTCCAGGAAAGGGTTTGTGGTTATCAATACATTTCACAAACAAAAAGATCCTTTGAGGGCTGGAGAGATGGCTCAGTAGTTAAGAACACTGACTGCTCTTCCAGAGGTCCTGAGTTCAATTCCCAGCAATCACACAGTGGCCCGCAACCACTTGCAATGAGATCTGGTGCCCTCTTCTGGCTTGCGAGGACACCATCAGGCAGAACACTGTGTACATAATAAATAAATAAATCT